CCACCAGAAAGCATCTAATTAATTTAGCTGGTGTTCTAGGCTGTCCAAGTCTTAATTCTCACACTAAGACTACATGCAGTTAATTTCCCAAAAGGAAAATGCCTAAATGGATGTTGGGAAGCCAAAAACAAGAATGTTTTTTGCTTAGGGGAAAGTGAAACCTGTATTTTCACCTTTTCTTATTTCCAAATTGTGTCAGCAGGATAGATTTGATCCAACCATAGAGGTCAAACATTCAAGGAACTTTACTTTTCCTCTTGCCAAACACTCTTATTTTGACTCAGGCATGAGAAAAAAAATAAAAGTGTATATAACTGGAGGGTGCTACACGGCCTCAGGCCTGAGCCACTGTTCTACCTGCTGCAGGTCATTAGTTGTCCTCATGATTGGCTCTAGTGGTATTCTTTAGGTCTCTGCATTGTAAAGAAATGATTGGTCCAGTAGGTCTACAGCTGCTGAGCTCATCTGTGATATAGCTATAGCTTTAAATTCTTCTTATCTTTTGCATTGAAGTGCAGAGGACGAAACAAGACTTCAGGGACAGTCACTAACATGCCAGGCCAGTGAACCTTACACTTTATACTGAGACCTGAGCTCTAGGGAGGCAGGCTTGCCAAGGGAGTGTTTTCTTTACGCACCCGCTTTACTCATAGCTCAATGGAGTTTGTGACCACCCTGGCAGACCTCCAAGGGGAGTGTAGTTGTCCCCATCTGTCTGGATGACTTGAAAGACCCAATGACCATTAACTGTGGGCACAGCTTCTGTTTCCACTGCCTCAGTATGTCCTGGAAGGATCTAAATGATGCCATCCCCTGCCCTGGCTGCTGATTTTGCCTTCCACAAAGGAACTTCAGGAGGAACCCTCAGCTCTGTAATTTGACTGAAATTGCTAAGCTACTTCATATTAGAAAGAGCAAGAGGAAGAGGCAGGAAGAAAATTCTGTACATGAAAAACACAATCAATTTCTGACCCGTTTCTGTGTGAAGGACCTGCAGGTTTTATGTACCCAATGCAGTTTCTCTATTGAACATTGGAGGCACTACATTTGCCCCATTAAGAAATGCCTTTTACCACAGAAAGATTCCAGAAAAATTCAAGCCCTTGAAGAAAAAGGAATGAGCTGAAAAAGTAATAATTCTGCAAGGCAACAAATCCCTGGAGCTGAGAAAGAAGGTAGGATATAGGAAAGAAGAAATAAATTCTGAATTTCAGCATATTGGACTGTTTTTACAGAATGAGCAAGAAAGTCTGCTTAAGAAGATACAAGATGAAGAGTTGGACATTTTTAAAAATATTTATTTATTTTTGTTTTTTTAGGTGGACACAATATCTTTGTTTATTTTTATGTGGTGCTGAGGATCAAACCCAGTGCCTCGCGCATGCCAGGCCAGCACGCTACCACTTGAGCAACATCCCTAGCCCCAAGAGTTGGACATTTTAACAAAACTTAATGAAAACCTTGTAACTTTTCCATATTGTATTTCCACATTAAAACATTTACTGAAGGAAATACAGGGCAAATATGTATGTCAGACCTGGCATTACTGACGTGAGTTAAGAGTATATCCCAAAGATATCAAAACCTAAAATACCATGAACTCTCTTCATTAAAGAAACGTGATTTTAGACTTTCTCCATAGTATTCTGGCTTGGACAGAATTATATAGCAATTTCAGACAGATGTGACTTTAGATCTTGACACAGTGTGTCCTCAGCTTATTGTCTCAGAGGATAGAAAAACTGTTCAAAATGGAAGAAGAAAACAAAATGTTGGTTATAACCCAAGGAGATTTGATCTCTGCTCTGCTATCCTGGGTTCTAAGATATTTAATTCTGATAGACATTACTGGAAGGTAGAAGGAGGGCGTAGAAAACCTCAGTGGACATTGGGTGTATGTTAAGACATCTCCCTAGGAACTAGAGAAATTGGTTGTCATTTCTGGAAGGTTTCTGGGAAATTGGTCTATATATATCGAGAGTGGTTATTATGTGTTTGGTCTTAAGATAACCCATCTTCTGCCAGTAGTAAGACCCAATAAGATTGGCATTTTTTTTTTACTTTGAATTGGGTGAGGTTTCCTTTCATAATGGAAATGATTGGTCTCTTCTTAGTACTTTCAGTGATTCTTTTAGCAAAACCATTTTGCCTCATTTCTATGTTATAACAGATTCTGAACCTCTTAAAGTCTTTCAGTAGATGATGAAAGATAAAGAACCTGGTAAATTATTCTGTTTTAGAGATAACTTAAGCCAGTAAATTTGAACTCATTATTTCCAGAATCTTTTTTAGTTTTATTTCTGAAAATCAGAATAGATTTTCTCCCTTATTTTTAGCAACTATAAAAAGTGACAGTAGTACCATTTAATGAATATTATGTGTATCAGTTGTTAAGTGCTTTGAATTCTAATTTTAAATATTTGAGAATTATTATTCTACATGTCCAAAAAAATATTTTGTTTTAAAATTGCCAAAAAAGTACATATTGTCATTGAAGAATGAAATACATGATAGACATGTGAATAAGTAGTGTGTAAATTGGCCTTGTCAGAATCAAAAGGAAAGGGAACATTATACACTCTTTATGAAAGTAGAGATGGGCATTTCTTTCAGATTGTGAACCATTCATACTTTTCAACTACATTCTGGATTGTTCACATGTTTTTTTTTATGATCATGAGTTTAATTTTGTATACACCGAGTCTGAACTTGTCTTAGTTAATTTCATATTGCTATAAAAACACATGAGGCTAGTTAACTTCTAAAGTAAAAAGTTTTATATGGCTCATGATTCTAGCATTCTGGAGGGTCCTCTGGCTGTATAGCAACAGTAGAGTAGTGGAAAGGGAATCAGCAGCATGCAAGGGAGGTGCCACCCTCTCTTATGACAACCCATTGATGAAAGGAGATGCTAGTCTCTCTTACAACAACCCATTCTCTCAGAAGCTAACCTAGTCCCATGAGATCTGACCAGCTTTCACAAGACAGTGTAAAGCCATTCATGAGGTTAGAGTCCCATGATGTAAGTACTTTCTTTTGAAGGACCCACCTCTGAAAGTTTCCACTACCTTAACACTGCCCTGCTAGAAACCAAGCCTCCAGCACATGAACGTCCTAGGACAAACCATATCCAAACCATAGCTGAGCTTAAGCTCAACATATCCAAAACTGAACTCATCTTCTCCACTCATGCTACTTTTCCTGTTTTCCCAAACTCAATAAAGGCACCACTATCCAGTCTAGACACCCAAATCAGAAACTTAGGACTCATATATAACTATCCTGTATTTCACTCTACGTGTGCAGTCACGTCCTAGAATGTCAGTTCTTTTCTTTTCAAATGTGTACCTTCTCTCCATTCTATTAACCAGTGTCTTAGTTCAAATTCATGACACTTGTATTTCTGGTTTTGCTTAACATTAGCTGGTCTCAGAGACTATAAAGTTTAGGTAATTGGCTACAATTCCAGCCATATATCCCACAATTTCTTGCCATCTTGTCTGAACTGAGTTCTGATTATTTTCTGCTTTTTCATATAACTCAGATTTTAATATGCTGATTCCTAATTGGTTAATCTCTCTACCTGTTTTGATCACCCATCCTTGTTTGCCTGTTAAAATTCTACTCCATCCTTCTGGTCTCAGTTTTATTAAATTCCTGTGTCAACCACCACCATCCCAAATAGAATCTGGCATTTCTTCTGAGCTCCTATAGCACTTATACAAGCATCCCTGGACTATTTACCTAACTCTTTATTTGTTTAGGTCTACTTTTCCTTTTGGGTTGGGAGCTCCTTGAGTGCTGGAACTCATACATAGTTCTATTTTCTCCACTTAGTACATGCAGGGTTCTCCACAGGCAATAAAACATGATTCGGTTTTTTGTTGTTGTTGTTGTTGTTGGTTTTTTTGTTTGTTTTACTAAGTGAATGAAGCATACATATTTAGTGGAGCATATAGATGAAGATGAGACTGTAAGAAATTCCAGATACCAAGCTGAGAGGGTGCTTATGTACTCTGAAATGTCATTTTACTCAGGCTGCTCCCAGAGCAGAAGAAATTCAGGAACGCAGCCCTCATGCTTGCCTGAGTTCTGGACCCTCTTCTCTCAAGTTTTCCTCATGTTTGACACCACACTGCATTTACCTAAGATATAAACTCTACCAGGACATGCCTAAAGACTTCAAGATATACTTGGCCCATTCATTTGTGATCCTCCATTTTACTCTTTACACAGTTTATTCTTTCTTCTCTCTTTTATTACAAATGGCTACCTCCTGAGTGAGTCTTTGACCCTGGGACCATGCCTCAGTGCTGGCCCTCATGGTCACATTGCTCTGGGGATCAGGCCTAGAGGAAAAAAGAAAGGAAACAGAGCAAGAGGGAAGGCAGGGGGCAGGAAGGGAGGGAGAAAGGAAGGAAGGTTGGGAGGTTATTGGAGAGAGTCCAAAGTAAAATCTTGACAATTTTATCTGGAAACATATCTTTGTTTTAATGCAACTTTTCGTAACCTCCTGTCCACATATCACATACATGCATGCATGTAGGCATTCTTCCATTGATTTATTCCTTTTGACAATTCTTGAGTTCTCTCTGATCACTAATTACTGTGATAGGATTTGGAATAAAGGGTTTTAGAAAAAAACCCTTTTTTTTAGAAAAAAAATGTAGAAAAAAAAATTTCATGCTCTTCATATTGCTCATAATCTGGAAAGAAGAGATGATTCCATCAGTGATAATTACAAATCGTAAGATAAATGTGTCAGTAGAAACATACATAGGTGCAGTAGTAACAGAGTTTGAAAAGACATTCAGTCTTAAAGTGACATCTAGGACCCAACAAATCCAACAATGTTAAATATTTTTGTCCAAGGCTTTCTATAACCTGCTCTACTCTTTATTTATGCCTGCTTTACCCTAATGTACTTTTGTTTTTAACTTATTATATACTCTAAACTCCATCCATACATGTACGAGAATATCATAGAAAATGCTCATCAGGAAATTTGGAGAGAGTTTATTTTCAAAAGACATTTTCTCACCGTTCAATAAACACCAAAAGAACTATGGCAACAGTTTGTACTTTCTATAAATAACATTTTGTAATTCAAGTCAGTAAAGTAAAGCTGATTTATCTAGGAGTGAAATTTGTGATGGAATAATTTTGTGTTAAATATAGTCAACATTCTACTAGCATTATGTAGACTCCTAAATGACAATCCAAATTAGTTTTACAGATCATTTAAAACCGTGTATAGTTGGAATGAGAATGCATTTTCTGCTTTCCTGCTCTACCATCCCCTCAGGAGGTATATCCCATGGCTGTTCCCTTTTTTATGTTAATGTCATTTTAAATTTAAATTTAAAATTGACATAGACTTCCTAACCATGTGCCAATGTTGATATGCTTCTGATGTATAAGGAAGGAAACTACCCAAGGGCTTACATTTATCTTTTATTACCTCCAACTGAATAACCAGATGTATGTTTAAATGTTTGAATGGCACATTTTTCTCTCATATGTACACAGAACTTGCACACACATACACACAAAAGAAAAAAAAAGCCTAATTTTTACACTAAAGAGGCACCCAGTACCTGCAATTGCAGTTCACTGGTACTATGTTAGAACCCACCTTTGGGTGGAGTTGTTACTGCCAACGGATTTAGATGTTGTGGTTTATTCTAACACTTACTGTCACTTTAAACAATCAAGGTTGTTTGATCCAATGTTAGAAGACTGTTTCATGAGAAGCAAGACAACATCTACTACAGCTGTCGGGGGCCAGCAGTGTGCGTCACACCACAGACAGCCTGCCCAGCCACTGCTTTCCGGTTCCTGTTTTTGTCTGAAAAATGGCAAAGTTGGGAATAAAAATTAGTTGTAAAGGCCCCCAAATGTCATTCTTTGTAATCAGATATAAATATGAATAAATGCAGACCTGACTTTGAAATCAAATTCAAAAGTATATACAATATTAATTTCTTGTTTTTCAACATTTTTAAATTAAATTTTTTTTTCTAATTAGTTCTACATGACAGCAGAATGCATTTTGTTTCATGGTACACAAATGGAGCACAACTTTTCATTTCTCTGGTTGCACACAATGCAGAGCCGCACCATTTCTGCCAATATTAATTTCCTATATCTGTAATAAGAATTGTAATACATCCCGCTGTCATATATAAATAAAAAGAAAAAGAAAAAAAAGAAATTTAAATATATCTGGCAAACAGTGTGCAGTAGCCCCCCTCACTTCTGCATTTTCTACCTTTATTGAGGGGCTGACTCTCCAGCTGTATATTACAAGCATGCTCCAATTTCCCTGGGCCTGGAACACTTTTCTTGGCAATTACTGCACTGCTATCTCTGTGTCCTCATTTTAATCTCATGCTTCAAAAATTGCAATCTGACCCTGCTCTCCAGAAACTGCTTATTCAAAGCTTGTCTCCCAGCCTGGTCAGCTGCTTTCAGGTCATTTTTTTTTTTTTTTTTAGTCTTCTACACCAACAGTCTGTGCTGATTCAGGCTCTGTATGTCCTAAACAGGATCTCCATTTAGTGGCACCACTCTCAACCTAGTAATTCAAGCCAAAAAGCTGGGAGCCAGCTGTTACATATCCCCTGTCATGGAACTTGCCCAGTTTTACTAGGTAAGTATCTCTTCATTTCATTCAACCTACCTTTTATTACTGTTGTCTTTCCTCCCCACTGCCTCATATTTATTTATACAAATGACACAGGACACCAATCCCATGCAGACAGCAGCCCAGGGGTTACACCAGTCCTCCTGTCCTCAGGTTGGCAAACAGAGGCCTTTACCATGGGGACTTCATGGGGACGTGAGCACTTTTGAACACTGAAGCCAAAGCCTGGCCTTGCTTTGAGCCTTGGCCTTTAGCTCTAGAGCCCATTACTCTGGGAAAAGGGTACCAGGGTACCAGCACGCTTCTTGAGCTTGGGGTGCGAATGTAAGTAAGTTGATTGAGCTTGAGACTTGCACCCTTTGGAATCTGGGCTTCACTTCCTTGGGCTTCGCTGTGCCTTGACGCCCTTCGTACCTGCATTCATGGCCTTGGTGATTGCCGCAGTCTTTCTGGGCACAAATCACGAGCCACTGAAGCAGGAACAAACTTTATTTCTGAACTCCAACAGCACACTCCACACAGGCTCCCCGGGAATTCTGCTGAAGCCACGGGCTCCTCCAGGAACCAGCAACCGGAAATATCCCTCCTCCGGCACTTCCCCAACCAATCGGAACTCTCTGGGAATCCCCCAGCAAGAGCTCAACTGGAACTCAAGGGAACTCCAGGAGAACTCGCTGGCGTCACCTCTCAACCACTACTTCTGGCAAAAATGCCATGCGTCATCCCGACTCGGCTGTGGCCCTCAACAGGTGATGTTTGTTGTATCCTCTTCAGGCCCTTCTTCTTGTGCTGCTTGGCAAAACACAAGTTCCTCAAGACTTGGGGCCCACCCCCTTAAGAGATTCTTATCTTTGTGATAGGAGTTTCTTTATGCCATTTATGTGCAATTTACAGGAATGGTTGTGGGTGATGTGGTTCTTGGACGTAGCCAAGTCGGCACCGGAACCTGCTGCTCCTGGGGCCTCTATTATTGTCTTTAATGAAGTTTTTATTATTGTTTATCTGGCCTCTTGCATCAGTCTATTTACCCTTCTCTTCGTCCTCTCATCTGCTCATAATTTTTTTTTTTTTTCCGACACTGTTCATAGGCTCTTTTCCTATGTGGAAAACCAGCCAGCCGCTGTGGAGTTGAAAACCCTTCACGGACTCCCCTTTACTCAGAGAATCAACTCCATGCCCCTTGGCTTGCAACACAAAGACTTTTTATCACCTATCCAGCTCTCCTATATCCTTTCCCATCAGTTCTCAGTTCCATCTTGCATTTTATTTTTTTGCAATATCAAAATGATTATAGATGTGCTCACACAGTGTGCACACATGAATGATTTTTGAAACCTCCACACACTTATAAATTTTAATTCACCTGTGCCAGATAGCCTCCTGCAACTGACCTGGAAAATTCAAAGTCCTAGAAAACCACCACTTCCTCAATGAAGATTTCCCTCACTCTCCCCAGGAAAAATGATTTTTATTTCTATTTGTGAATATTGTCTGCAAATTATTGCATACTCATATGCCATATTATTGTGTATTATTTTTATTTAACTGTGTTATTATTTATCTCTCAAGTGTCACCTCCAGTTCTGGGATAGTATGGACCAGACATTAATTCATTTATGTATATTTTAGCACCCACCACACTTCAGGCACATAGTAAGTGTTCAGTAAAGTTTTATTGGAATAAATTGAGTAACAATTTTGAGTTGAGTTTTGTGCATGGTGATAGATAGGGGTTTAATTTTACTTTGTTTTGCGTATGGATTTCCAGTTTTCCCAGCACCATTTGTTGAAGAGACTCTCTTTTCTCCAATGTAGGTTTTTGGCACCTTTGTCTAATATAAGATAACTGTAGTTATGTGGGTTTGTCTTTGTGTCCTTCATTCTGTACCATTGGTCTACAACTCTATTTTGGTGCCGATACCATGTTGTTTTTGTTACTCTTGCTCTGTAGAATAGTTTAAGGTCTGGTATAGTGATGCCACCTGCTTCACTCTTTTTGCTAAGGATTTGCTTTAGCTATTCTGGGTCTCTTATTTTTCCAGATGAATTTTATGACTTTTTTTCTATTTCTGTGAGGAATATCATTGGGATTTTTGATTGGAATTGCATTAAATCTGTAAAGTGCTTTTGGTAGTTTGGTCATTTTCACAGAAATAATTCTGCCTATCCAAGAACAAGGGAGATCTTTCCATCTTCTAAGGTCTTCTTTAATTTCTTTCTTTAGTGTTCTGTTGTTTTCATTGTATAGTTCTTTCATCTCTTGTTAAGTTGATTCCCCAGTTTTGTTTTTTTTTTTGAGGCTATTGTAAATGGGGTAGTTTTCCTATTTTCCCTTTCAGAGGATTTGTCGCTGATGTACAGAAATGCCTTTGATTTTGGGGTGTTGATTTTGTATCATGCTACTCTGCTGAATTCATTTACTAGTTCTAGAAGTTTTTTGGTGGAATTTTTTTTGTCTTCTATACATAGAATCATATCATTGGCAAATAGTGCTAATTTGAGTTCTTTTTTACCTATCAGTATCCCTTTAATTTCTTTTGTCTGTCTAATTGCTCTGGCCAGTGTTTCAAGAACTATGTTAAATAGAAGTGGTGAAAAAGGGCATCCCTGTCTTGTTCCAGGTTTTAGAGGGAATGCCTTCAATTTTTCTCCATTTAGAACGATGTTGGCCTGGGGCTTAGCATAGATAGCTTTTATCATGTTGAGATATGTTCCTGTTATCCCTAGTTTTTCTAGTGTTTTGAACATGAAGGGGTGCTGTATTTTGTTGAATGCTTTTTCTACATCAATTGAGATGATCACATGATTCTTATCTTTAAGTCTATTGATGTGATGAATTACATTTATTGATTTCTGTATGTTGAACCAACTTTGCATCCCTGGTATGAACCCCACTTGATCATGGTGCACAATCTTTTTGAAATGTTTTTGTATTCGATTTGCCAGAATTTTATTGAGAATTTTTGTATCTATGTTCATTAGCGATATTGGTCTGAAGTTTTCTTTCTTTGATGTTTCTTTGCCTCTATTTGGAATCAGGGTGATGCTGGCTTCATTGAATGAGTGTGGAAGTGCTCCCTCTTTTTCTGTTTCACAAAATAATTTGAAGAGTATTGGTATTCTTCTTTAAAGGTCTTGTAGAACTCAGCTGTGTATCCATCCAGTCCTGGGCTTTTCTTGGTTGGTAGGCTTCTAATGGCATCTTCTATTTCATCACTTGAAATAAACCAGAGACACTGTGCCTATTAGAAAAAAAAGTAGGCTCAAATCTCCATCATGTCTGATTAGGGCCTAACTTCCTTAATAAGATTAATTCCTCCTATAGAGCAAGAATTAAAATCAAGAATCAATAAATAGGATGGATTCAAACTAAAAAACTTCTTCTCAGTAAAAGAAACAATCTGTGAGGTGAATAGAAAGCCTATATTTTTGGAGCAAATTTTTACCACATGTACATCTGATAGAACACTAATCTCTAGGGTATATATAGAACTCAAAAATCTTAACACCAAAAAAAAAAAAAAAAAAAACCACCGAATAACCCAATCAATAAATGAATGAGTCAAGGAACTGAAGAGATAGTTCTCAATGATATACAATCAATCAAGAAATATATGAAAAAATGTTCAACATCTCTAACAATTAGAGAAATGCAAATCAAAACTACTCTTAATATTTCATCTCATTCCAGTCAGAATGGCAGCTATTAAGAATACAAACAACAATAAATGTTTTCAAGGATGTGGGGAAAAAGGCACATTCTTACATTGCTAGTGGGACTGCAAATTGGTGCAGCCAATATGGAAAGCAGTACAGAGATTCCTTGAAACACTGGGAATGGAACCTCCATTTGACCCAGCTATCCCACTCCGTGGTCTATACCCAAAAGACTTAAAAACAGCATACTACAGGGACACAGCCACATCAATGTTTATAGCAGCACAATTCACAATAGCTAAACTGTGGAACCAATCTAGATGCCCATCAGTTGATGAATGGGTAAAGAAAATGTGGTTATATATACACAATGAAATACTACTCAGCATTAAAAGAGAGTAAAATCATGGCATTTGCAGGTAAATGGATGGAGTTGGAGAATATAATGCAAAGTGAAGTTAGGCAATCCCAGAAAACCAAATGCCAAATGTCTTCTCTGATATAAGGAGGCTGATTCATAATGGGATCGGGAGGGGAAGCATGGGAGGAATAGAGGAACTCTAGATAGAGCAAAGAGGAGGGAGAGGAAGAGAGGGGAGATGGGGAGGGAGGAAAGATGGTGAAATGAGATGGACACCATTACCCTAAGTATATGTATGAAGACACGAATGGCGTGACTGTACTTTGTGTACAACCAGAGATATGAAAAATTGTTCTCTATGTGTATAATATGAATGGTAATGCATTCTGCTGTCATATATAACAAATTAGAATTTTAAAAAGTGCTTTGTGATTGCCAGATGGAAGCCCCATACTATAAAAAAAATGAATAACAATTGAATTCCTTTGTCTCTCATTTTTCATACCCAACTGGCCAACATGACTTCACAATGCTACCTCCTTAATTAGAATGTTGTATTTATTATATTTATTTATTTTGTTTTTTTTTACCCTCACAACCATTATCCTAGTATAAGAGTTCATTTTCTTTTAGCCATACATTCAGCAGCAGTTGTCAAATCCTTGTGGTTTGGAAACTGTAAAGTTGTGGAAAAAATACTATCTGGCCTGGAGAATTCCATGACAACTTACTGGGGTGGATAAACAGACCAATCAACCATTGAAGCCACTTCACTGGTTTTCTATCCCATGCCATAATTTTCTCCTAATCTTATGTCCTCTTCACAGTAACCCTCAGAGTACTCCTTATGGCAGTAATGACAATTTAATTTCAAACCATCTTGCTGAAAACCTTGCAGCTTTCTGTTTATTGCAGAATAAAAATTTGCCATATAAATGGTTGTCAAGACTGTGCCTTATACATCTTTTTCACCCTGCTCCCTTCTTCCTTTACTTCCTGCTTTCCTGCCCATTTGTCCAAGGTTCATTAAAATGGCATCTTCTAGATGAAGTCTTCCAGGATCCTTTTTAAGAAAAATTAGTATGTCGCTTCTTTTGTTATGGCATTAGTATGTATCCTGTTTTGTGTTATCATTATGTGCATATCTATTTCTGTTGTAAGATTGGGAAAAGAATAAGATTGGGAAGGTTTTTATTTTTCCTTTTGCAGCTTCTCAAAACGAATTTTAACAGAAACACAGTGGACTTTGAGTTTCAATCTTATTTCTTATCCATTCTTTCATCATCTGCCATCTCTGTGGTATTTCTACCTGTAAGCCTTACAAGATCATATGTCATTGTGATAAGATCATTTTATTTACAAATAATATGATTATTTTATAAAATAATGTCATGCCAAATTTAACTAATTCTTTTTTAAAAAAAAAAGGATTTTATTGCCCAGAGCCACAGTGAAATTACATACCAACTAGCTTTCATTAACGAGGAACAATTTTTGTACTGTGGTAGTCTCAAATGCAAAATAGTATTACAATAAAGTATTTTATTATACTTGCCAAATGAATTAATGCTGCTTACTCTTTTGATTAAAAGATGAAAGATTTTTTAATCATGTCTTTGCACATTTTGCATGTAATCTGCTGAATCCAGTAATAAGTGATAACAAACCTATCATTTATGTAAATGTTCAGAAGCTTGACAGTAATGAAACTTGGATTAGCTCTTATGGAGGAATGAGGAGTGCAAATATGCAATCTTTTCACATGCATGCAGGGCAGGATAATTCTCTCTCTTTTTTTTTTTTTTTTTTTTCAGTGAAGAGCCCTTTACTGTGCGAAAGGGATTTTATGTTGCTTTTAGACCTTTAGTTGCTGCATTGGCCTGGAGGGCAGATTATTGGAAAGAGTTGCAATGAAACCTAAGTGGAAAAATGGGCAGCCTTGGCAGAACTATATAATAGAAATTGGTTTTCCATGTTTATAACAGTTAAAATCGCAATATACTTCATCTGGATACACTAAATTTCTTACTATTAGAATAAACTTTTCTTTTAAGATATGCATTTATTGAAGAATATTTTTATTTTTACATTTGTTGGAGAGGCAATTTGACTATTGTAGGAAAAGAAGCCTGGACTGTAGAGTCAGATAATCCTAAACGCTGATTTATATTCTCTTAATTTCAAATTCCTTGTTTATAAATCTTTAATGGTCTGTTGTGAGGATTAAATCAGAAAGAAATGGGTAAAGCACATAGCACAACACTTGACAAGTGACAGGCTGTCACTAAGTAGCTATTTCTGTGTCATCAGTACCATCATTATCATCATTGTTGAATGTGCTCCATAGACTTTAGCTTTTTTGTTGTTGTCGTTTCTCTGTTATTGTGAACTAGGAAATGTAAATGTGGATTTACAATCTTAATTTTTATGTCTGGTTTTGTCTGTGTTACCAACCGTTTAGTGCCTTGTCATTTGATAACCTTAACCCTATCTCATATCGTATTACCACGGTCATATAGCTAGATACATTCCTACAGTCTTTTTAGTTATCTTTTAAATCACAAGTATAGTGTATGTAGTATAGATGTACATGAAGCAGCAAGTAGAAGTACTCTTTCCTGCTCATCTGTAATCCTCCTAGTCTCCAGAAAGAATCTTCTTATATATCTTTTCAAACCACATGTATGTATACGTAACTTACACACACACACACACATCTGAAATCTACTTTTTTTCCAGACATTCTAGATATTTTCCCATGTCCACGTTTACACATAATTCTGTCCTCTTTTTTTAAAAAAAATTTAAATATGAAAATAATTTCAAATTCACAGAAAAGTTGCAAGACTGAAAATAGTACAAAGAACACTTGTTCTTTAGTCACAGTCTATTTTTAGCACTTTATTCAATTTGCATATGCTCTCTCTCTCTTCCTCGTGTACATATACATGCTTTATGGCCCTTTGCCCTGGTACTCTTGAATGCATATTTTCTTAAGAGTAGGGATCTTATAGGTCACTGTGGCACACCCCTGTGATCCTTGCTACTTGGGAGGCTGAGTTAGTAGGATCACAGATTCAAGGCCAGCATCAGCAATTTAGCGATACCCCCAGCAACTTTGAAAGGCACTGTCTCAAAATAAAATATAAAAAGTACTGGGGATGTAGTTCAGTAATAGAGTGGAATTCAATCCTCAGTATTGCCAAGGAGAAGAAGAAGGAGAAGGAGGAGAAGGAGAAGGAGAAGGAGAAGGAGGGGGAGGGGGAGGAAGGGGGGGATATTTTCTTGCATGAACACAGCACAATTATCTGCATCTGTAAATTTAACTTTGATAAAGTGCTTTACCATTTATATTTCAATTTTGTCAATTGGTACAATAATATTCTTTGTAACAATTTTTCTCTAGTACAGATTCTTGTCTAAGGTTAGAAATTGCATCTAATTGTCATGTTTCTTTAGTGTCCCATCTCTGGGACTTTTCTACAGATTTTTATTTTTTTGTCTTTAGTGAAATTGACATCTTTGAAGACTATAGCTTCCCTCCACCCTTTACATAGAAAAATTCTCTTTTATGTGTTTTATTTCATAGATTTTTATTTCATGCTTCAAAGGCCTTCTCTACCCATAAATTATAAAAATATTCAAGTATGTTTTCTTCTAGTTCTTATAAGTGTCCCTTTTTAAAAATCTTTGTCCATTAACTGGTAAATCAATAAACAGAGAAAAATTCATACAGAGAAATATTATTCAACTACAAAACAGAATGAAGTACCAATGTATGCTGAAACGTGGATGAACATTAAAAGCATTACGCCGAATGAATGAAGCTGGACACAAGGCACGCATCCCATGATTCCCTTTCCAGACATTATTAGAGTAGGCAAATTCACAGAAACAGAAAGCAGTAAGTGGTTTTAGGGGCTGGCGGTGGGGAGTGACTGCTTGATGGGTATGGAGTTTTCTTTGGGGATGATGGAAATGTTCTGGAACTAGATGGTTGTGATGAATATATAACCCAGTGAATTTTGTACTTTAAATGATAATTTTTATATCCTAGGCATTTAATCATAATGTACAAGAAATTTTTGATTCATTTACACTTGACCTAAGGAATCAGGTAGGTATAAGTGTCCCTTCTTTTTTTTTCCAACTCACTGTCCAGTCATCCCAGTATCTAAGTGATTAATCTGTTTTGACCCATTTATTTGAAATGCCTCTTTTAAT